TGGATTCCCTGTGTTGCAGGCTCTTATCTATAGCAGTAGCACAAACATTTTCATTGTGGTATTTTTCCCTAAGGAGATATTAGGCCAAAAAAGTTTGTGAAACGTTGCCCTAGGCTATTTCAAGTTACTGATCTGTTGCCCGACATCTGGACGGCACCGCTTTAAGTTTCTGTGCCTTTGCCCATGTCTAATGAGCGCCTGTGTTCACCTTTTAAAACCTTGTCCAGCTGTAATCCTGTGACGCTGAACCCTCAGCTTTCTTCTCATAATCTGAATGAGAATAGTACATACAGACATCAATTATATATCTAATACAAGATCACTTTCCACACTGGGACATCTCCATGCCATGTAGAGATCATAGTACGATGGCTTCGAATAGTAGTGCAAATGCTTGCAAGTTAGGTGTGGCAGGTCAGTTTCTAAAGACGGCCACTGTATTTCCCACCCCACATGCTCCTCTGCAGTCTGGCCCCTTAAGGAGCAGAGCTTTTCTCAACTCACTTGAATGTGGACTGCTTCTGTGCCTGCTTGAATAGGACATGGCAGAGGAGAAGCTGAGTTCTAGGGAGAGTCAGGTTGGCACCGTCTGCTTCTTGCCTCCTGATACACCACCCCTGGGGATGCTCTGTCTCAGAAACCAGACCCGTGCTATAAGCACCCCACTCATGGACAGAGGCGGTGGGCAGGCCCTCCTCCGGTCACTAACCCTGCCTGAGCTCCCAGCCATGAGGCGGCAGCAGCTTCTGCCATGAGTGGTGTCCATCTCAGACTTTCTGACCAGTCGGCATTTTCAGATGACTGTTCGCCTAGCCGTGAACTGCAAGCACGAAAACCACCCAGCGGAGCCTAGTCAAACCACAGGACTTTGAAAATACTAACAAGCTATTTGAAGCCCTTAAATTTGGGGGTGATGTGTTAAGCAGCAATAAACATTAGCTAGGCTTATCAGTTATCTACTCTTACAATAATGCTTTGTAGTAATACAAAAACTATACAGCTTTCAATAATAAGCACTTATCATTGCGCATAAGGTTAGTCACCCGAGAGGTTCTGCTCATCTGGACTATGCTTGACTGATTGTTTAGCTCATTCAAGCATCTGCAGCGAGCTGGCAAATTGGCTGGAGGGCAGCTAGTCTAGCATCGCCTCACACACCTGGCTGCTGGTTAGCTAGGGCACCAGAGGTAGCTGAGCCTCTCATCCTCCAACAAGCTAGGCTGATTTTTCTTTTTATCATGGTAGGTTGGCAAGACCCCCAAGGACCAAAGGGAAGCATTCAAACCTTTAAAGTCTACATAGACCTGGCCTACTATTATTTTCTCTGCATGCTATAGTCTATTGGCCATAACAAGCCACGAGGCCAGTCCAGATTAACGCAATACTCACTGCGACTGAGTCAGTTCTGACTCAGGGAGAGCCGGTTAGAACTGCCTCTCTTTGTTTCCAAGATTGTACAGACCACTTTACAGGAGCAGAGAGCCTCAACTTCTGTGTTCCAGGCCAGATGTAAGGGTATGCAAATCGAATCAAAGTCTTGGCTGGAGACGCTGTGAAGTCACACTGAAGCCCATGGAAATGAGGAGGGCGAAAAGCAGGCTACAATGTAATAAGTCCACATGGAATAAGTATTAAACTTTATCTTTTTATTGATCGACAGTTTTAGAAAGTAAGAAACATTTCTCAAATGGCAGTTGTTGAACTGTGTTGGGTATTGCCCTATTCCTATCCAAACTCATTAATGGCAGCTATCTTAAAACCTCCCCAAAAATGTCCTGGAAAAAGATGATCAATTATCCGCAGTAGTGTTGAATTATTCATCATCACAAAGTTCCTATAAAGATAAACATTCAATCAGTTCTTTTGACTCAGCTCTTAATGGTCTACTTTCCTCAGTCCATGGACACATACTTTAACAAGCACATGCTGACTTTCCCTCCCTAAAAGGTAACTCTAACCTTAGGGATTAAAGAGTTCAGGGGGGAGGCTCCCAGCACCACCTGAGAGTTAACTTAACAGTGAACGACAAATGTAAATGAATTCCTCTGCTTCCAGTGAGCCAATCACAGAACAGAGTAAGGGAACTAGAACAACCCAAGGTCAACAACTGGACATTTGTGAAGTTTGGTAAAAAAAAAAAGTTTTTGCACAGATGTGCACGGATAAAAACACATACAAAATGAACAAAAATTGTTTTCTTTTCA